GAGGCAGTAACAATTCCGCACCAACTAAAGGCGATTGCAGACCTCCACGACGTTGCCCCCGCAAACCGTATCCGGTTGTTTTCCCTGATGTTTTTGGCTCCGTATGGTACGCAGCCAACCGAATTTCGCTTGTAATTCAAATCGAAAAAAATACGGAAATTCATCTATTGTCCGGACAAAATCGGTTTCATATGGACACCATCTTTCGAGGTTTTTTAATTGCTCTACAGTTTTCGTTTTGGGTTGCGTGAACCTCTGAACTGGGACCAAATGTATGGCTTGAAAAGTTTACGGTCATGTGGGATATAAGGCCAGCTAGTGGTCTACACCCCCATAAAAAGTGGTTGACAGCCCGCATACAACGTTGGTAATAGTGTGGAGCTTAGCTTCATCAGTTCCCCGAACTAGAGCAAACGTCGTGATCACATCGTAAATTACCCTGTAATCGATTGGCGGGTTTGTGTACCTTGTATCATATATCAAATCACTTCAAAGGATTAGGTTTGTGCATACTGTGGTTTAGATATAAGGAATCAATCGTTAGAGCCCGTGTGAGATGCTACGACGCCTACAGAATATCACCTAACTTTTGGTTAAAGAATTATGACATTCAAAAACTAGATATTGAAGCACATCTATAACGTCTTTGAAAACAATTATTGATGTGTTCGTTGGCGGTCCTCATACTACGTTTAAAAGAGAACCAACCACCCAACAGTACGTGGATGTTTGCAAATGCAATTCAGAATGCATCCGCTTTCGTTCGTATATCTTACATAAAGCAATGTTTTTACAGTGAACTGAATCCAGGGATTTAGTGTGTCACTCAAACCGTGTGGCGGGTAATTCGCCATAAGTCCTTTTCACTTACATGATCCTACTGGAAATCGGTCGTTATCGGTACGGAATAGAAATTCATCATTCTGTAAGACCGATCACTCATCATGGATGAATGAAAATTCCTAGTGATTCGAATACGATGAAACTGTGTTTGTGCTCATATTCGCCTTCACGAGGCATCACGTATAAAGAGCGCTCAGCAGGTTTGGACACCGAACACCTACATAACAACCTGGCGATAAAACGCGGGGCGGTTGATTGGTCAAACTGATAAACAAAACGTTCTCCCACGGCTGTTTTTCTTTCAACATGCGGTTTAGAACAATTAAGAGGTTGCGATTTTAATGGTTACTTAACCGGAAGTCACCGTATCTTCCACTTTACAGGAGGTTTATAAATGAACTTCCTAGTGCATAAACATCCTGGCAGTATACCGGTTACAATCTCACTGAGGATGACTGTAACAATCCAGAAAAATTAGTGAAAGTTTGCCACCACACGATTTATCAGTGGTCGTTAATATATTTAAAAAACTCTTCCAACACAGTAGAGCAGTGAGCGAACTTCTGGTTTAATAGTGGTCTCCAACAGAATGCAGAACACGCGTTGACAGAAGAGCTTTGAAATGGTACAAGCAATTGATACAAGACAAAGGCAACAGCCGGTAGGAATAAAACAGACAAAGGAGAACTAATGAAAAACTGGAAGTGAGGGATGAAAGACAACATTGAAGGGAAACTGGTCCAATAAGCAAAGTATGCATTCATTCTGAATTCCGCAAACAGAACAGAGGTTACCAATCAGAGAAACTGTGGTTTTCGTATCTGGAAATCCACAATAGAAAGAGCACGTATGGGTGCAGCTTCTACAAGAGAAATGACACACAATTATCGTCTCCAGCCCAGTAAGTAACTGGACCAAGATGCACCGGAAATGGTTTCTGTAGACTGCTGCTGATGTTGCTCTAGGAGCTGGGCCTCTGCTGGAGTCAACATTAGCATTGTGGATAAGACAGTAGCTAGCTGTGCCCTTTCAGATGAATCACTCGGCAAACTAACTATCTTTAAAATAACGTTCTTCAAGTATTCGGTTCGTAAGATGGCATCCTCGGAAATGGTCGGCTGTGAAACCTCGCCATCGTCAGTATCCTTCACCGAGGAAGCGGTCGGCTGTGATGTCTGATTCGAAAGTGGGAATTGTGAACCAAGGTGGACCAGTTTCTCTAGGCGACGTATTTCGTCTTTCAAAACCTTATACGGAAAGTAAAACAGAGCCGATGGGTCATTTAATGATATTTATACAGTGCATGATTCCGTGATAACGTTTAGGTGCTTAGGTGTTTGCGCTGGATTGTGCGTTACTGTAGGAGAGAGAAAAATATAGCAAAACCTATCTGCGATGGTCACTAAGATGACTGGTCCAAAAGAATAGCTACAGCATAGTACGCGCTGTGGAAGATGCCGACGCCTGTCCATGAGTGAAAATGCATGACAAATGCATGCAAACACTTAATTCTACCTTTTACTTCATGCGGAAGAACAGTGCAAATTGATAGTACAGAAACTGATGTTCGCAACGCAACGCTGTGTCTATTGGACATTCCCATTTTAATAAATACAAGTTTGCGGACGGTAGTCTCACCTGGTAAATACAGCGATGCGATAGAAAACTCGGTTAAAATACCATTCAGTATTGCTGATAATTTGCTAAAGAAAAAGGACAGCGCTGTATTTCGGACTAGTTTACTTGTTACGAAGAGTAAGCTTAAGAAACGCTATGCTAAGACTTTGAAGGACAATACTTGTTTACTATGACACACACGTGGCCAGTACACCAACTATGGGTGAGCCATCAACTTCATGCATTTGTATTTTATAAGCCACCGGAATGGTGGTTTGCTTCCAAGTTTGCATCATCAAAACAACCTCCAGTCCCATGGATATAAGACACCTACAAGTACCATTTGGGCGAACCATATGATTAATTCATCTATCGGATATTTTGTGGTTTCCATATCCGCTGAACTAGATCTATGCTGTGCGAAAAATGCACTGCTTCCCAATCACAGTGTCAAGTCTGTGTTTTTTGAGGCTGACGAATGGAATGTGAGCACTGTTTTGAAATATTACAGAATACATCAACGGTAGACTGATAGCATGACGATCCTGCGTGGGTGTTGATCTGTACATGAGTGATCCGAATCACGTGCTTGTCGGAAGTAGCTGCACAAGTGGATTACTACGGTCTATATGATGGATTGAACAGTACAGGTAGCTCGTAAATTGAATGCAGCGACCACGTTGCACACGATAGCTGAGTTGCCGGCTATCTGGCGTCAGCAGCTAAGTCCGTGGGAAGTCATCTGATGTCAGCGGAGTCCAATCAGAAAAGATGGTATGTAGAAAATGTTCAGTGTCCCTTGGTCTGAGAGAACGGCATACTTGGTTTAATCGGTCTCGGATAAATTGAATTGAAGATAAAAACATAGACATTATCATTCAAATCAGCAGAGAGAGAGAGAGAGAGAGTAGACGGCTCAGAAAATATATACTGATTCATTGGCACGGAGGCATCTTTCCAAGAAATCGTCTCTGAGTTTTGATTGAGGAAGACGCTTTGTTGTTGATGATTCATAAAATGCGATGACATGTGACAGATACATCGCATTAACGGTTCGATGATATACTGAGTGGGCTTATACTGAAGACGCTTGTGCAAGACAATTGAAGGGAAATACAGAATAACACCAAGAAAATTAATGAGTCACGGATGTATGCGAGTTGCTAGGCTATACCTGCCTTCAACATTCGATGAATAAATATACCCCTTACGGAGTCTGCATTGACTTCTCTTGATAGGAAATTTCTCTAAGAGCTGTGGGGACTTTTCACGTAATAAGATGTCTGATTCAAACTCCCCGAAAGTTGTCTATTCTTGAAAACTTCGGATACTGTGGACTTCGCCAGTGCTAGAAAGCATCACAGCATATCCACCCTTTGACGAGCTTTACGGAACATCAATCATCATCATTACCAACAGCAAAACATCGCTGTTCAACAGTGATACTGTCTTACACCCAAGGATTAAGGAAACAGCTTATTTCGTCTCTTGAGAATTTTAGTCACTCTGTTTTTGGCAAATTTTCCCGCACATCCAGAGCGAAGAATTTCTCGTGTTTGTATGTCAGTGGTTAGTGTACGGAAGAATAGATTACATACAATATTAATTTCAAGCAACGACGTCAATTTCCGTTATCCCCAAACTATTTCCACCCAGAAGGCGTCTCTAGGCTCTTCATTATGCAGCTGACCTTATGGAGAATTTGTGTGTATGCAGTCTTGTTTTTTGTTGGACTGATGTTACACGTCGTTGAGCGGGTTTCTCTCTTTATTTTTCTGATGTCAAAGCAAATTTCTGGGACTTGAATGTTAGCTGAAAGCACATACACTACTCGTTTGTCTTCCAATCACACACAGTAATGTTTCTGATTGGAAATCGAACATGTTTTTGCAAGTCGATTTTAACTGAAGTTCATGGTCTGCCTTCACTCAGTGATTTGCCGACTTGATGCATGACAGGTAGTGTCATGTGGTGTGCAACTTCAACAAGAAGCCTTCAATGGATTACAGAGTTCATACACATGCGATCGCTGCTCGTGCAAACTTCCGACGACTGTTTTCTACATTAGATATCAGAAGATCCGAAGTGAGCGCCATAAAAAAGAAACAAAAATTCGCGAATGCATACCTAGAGTCTCTAAAAAACAACAATAAAAAATGATTCCGCCAGGACAGGAGGACCATTGTTCAAAGGAGAGTGATGTGAGCATACAACTCCCACAACCACATACGACTAAACAGTAAAAACTGCGTTCCGTCACATGAGGATGGTAGGTATTCCTGTGATGAAAGAGTTTAGGAAATCAGCCGTAAATTGTGTATAAGGTGTGGTCTCAGATGCTTCGGTTTCGTCTACCAATAACAGAAAGAGTGAGAAGGGGTCGGACACGCATTGGAAGTGGTCCAACCAAGATAGCTCGGTGACCAAGGCGCACACTTATTGACCGGAAGGTCCGTGCTTCAAACCCAACCTCAGGGTCTTAACTGCTCACTTCTAGGCTTGGGTAACCTGGCAGTATCTCAGCCATGGTGATCCCTTCCGGTGGCGTAGAAGCTACGCACGGGATGGGTGTTACAGCTGGACAATTCTTATTTTAATTTTCGACCAATTCATTGAGATTAAATCCTTATTTGAGTAGGTGGGTAGAATTTTGCATCAAATACGACCGTTTGGATGCAGGGGCGCAACAAGACTAGGTTACGACTAGCCATTACTTGCGTTGTCCCATAAAGAGGAACAGTCATTTTCATTATGCACAACATAGTTCACTTTTCCAGTCCTAAACTGTCTGACAAAACAATTGTCCAAACTGCTATAGTTTCGTCTACCGAATATGGAACGGCTGTAGGGCAGCCGCGTATTGCAGACTGTGGTATGAGTTCAAAAACGTCAAGTTGTTCCACTATTTGTCGCCGGACAGCTATGGATTGAATGCGATTGCTTGATGCGCGAAATCCGCTTGTGCCATTGGTATCCAATGCACGCATTAATCACGGCATATGTAGTTGTCAGGAATGCACTGTAACGTATTATGTGCGATTCGCGTCAGACGACACATTCAGTGAGGACTGCTGGAGGTTCCGTGTAGAAACATCAATATTTTTGCACAACCTGATTTTGAATGCCGCACATTACCCCCATTTCCTTGGCGCTCTCCAACAGGGGAATACTAATCTGAGAACATGTTTATTGACAACACCTGGGTTACCATTTGGCAGTTGAATGGGGAGAAGTCATCAATACAGGTGTGTGTCTGTCCAACACTCAACCTGTTTGACTGACATCTCTGTTTGGGTTGAGCTTTCATACAGATGTGTATGAAGTGGACATGGTACGGATCGCTTGTGCATGTTTCTATGCGTCTTTGCTCTGTTCACTACAGTGGAAATGAAGAGGAGTTGTGCACAAATAAAAGTACAAACCTACCTTCGCTTGTTCTTCCAAACGGCCTACGGTAGCCTCGCTTTCGTGTAAAAGTTCAGAGAGATGCTCAACCCGGCGCTGTTGGTTATGCAGAGCGTTGCGCAACCCAGATATCTGCAAAGTGGTGGTCGGGTCGTTGAAGTTGGAAGTCGAATTGGTTGCGAATTCCGCACTGAAAGTCCGAGTTGACCTTGGACTGCTCACACTGGAGGGAGATATAGGATCATGGGAAGCACATTTGGTACTGCTTAGGAGTTGATCCAATGGGAGGAAGGGCTGGAAAAGCAAAACAACCAAATTAAGTGGATTTACGGGGACTAGGAAAGTGGTCTGTAAAGTAAATCATTCGACTTCATTACGGAACACTTCGTTATTAAAAGCACAATTGAATTTCAAGTGGTGACACTATGGGTGCCAGATAACCTCACAATAAAATGTTGCAGACAAATAATGAAAGTATAGGATAATAACTATCATAGCGTGTGGTAACAGGAAGGTTGTGCACGAGTGCTACTAATAGGAGAACGAGTGGTAAACGACGAGCTACGCGGAAAAACCCTAATTAGAGAAGTTACCTAATTAACAAGGAACAAAATGGAGTTTTATTCACGTGAAAGTGGTCTGCACCGATTTGGTCCTGTGTAGGAACAAAACATACGACTGGGAATCCGGTAATTCCATACAACACTGCTAACTGTTCGACCAGGCACTAATCTATCATTTGTTTTCACGTTAGCGTTATAACATAAAGGGGTTTGAACAATACAAGCAGCCTCGCGACTAACAACCTTATAGTGTCGTTGAATCACCTACGATCTATAGTGAAATTCACCTTAGCTCAGGAACGACGTGTACTGTCAGTAGAAGTTACCACGGTGGGTCGGCTAAATACAATCGGATGGCGCTCTAGGTTCAAATGATGAAATACCTGTACAATGCTTACGGTTTTTTTTCAAAAACATGAATTCGCTCCTCACACTCCCAACATTTCCTTTTGGGCTTGTCAACTCCTAAAAGTCCCGTATACTCCATCCTTCTTCAGGTGGCTATGAATGGAATGTACATAAGCTGAAGAGTCGACAACGGATGATCGTACAGGCCTTGGTCTGTCGGAAAATATGGTCACTTAGTAATTTTACCATGAAAACGGCGCAACCTATCATACGCAAGCACTGTCTTAACCTCACAAATGATTCATCTTTCCATAAGGTTTCTCAAATAGATGGAAAAATTCTGAAGCCGTGGATTAGGAAAATAATGAGTCGAGGTAGACACAACCGCGATAACTCTTGAGTTGTTCAGCACATACTCGGATTCCGTTCAACTTTCTCTCTGCAGGCCATCTACGGGACTGTGAATCCGAGGAGTTGGACGGAGAATGTGAAGGTGAGCGGAATTCGTTTTCTTCTGATGGACTGATGTGGCCTGAAGCAGCCACATTATCTGCCCCATCACCTTGGACACGATTGTGAAGAAATTTCGGCTACAACCGTAGAAAAACGGTATACAGTGACTGGGTACAAAATAACCCTGACTCAAGTCTGAAGATTGACAACTGTTTATGTAAACCTTGCCTGACATCAATATGGCGTGGCATGGGATAAACAGATCAGTTTATTTTGGCTATTAATAGGTATATTCACAAGACTTCCGTAGAAGGGGACTCTCACAAAGTGGATGGCCATCAATGAATGGCTTCGGAGACGATAGATAACAACAATCGACATGTGAGCCAGAATAGTTGTTGCTCAGGCATTGATTCAGCTTGAACCGTAAAATGGAATTTCACATGCTTGTGCATGTGGGAGTTTCTTTGAGAAGAACGGGGCAGTTTGAAATGTGTGAGACCATATCAGCGTACATCCCACTTAGATCGAACTGCTGTCAAACCAATGCACCAGGCTATGGTAGTGAAGTGTAGTAATGTACCCGTTTCTTGGAAGGAGTTAGCCAGCAGTAGGCGTATGTCACTTTGGGCGGGAGACAGTACGCTAACCACAGTAGAGGTTGCACAAGTCTCACATTCGTCCCACTGTTATGACATTTGGCAAAACGCTCCATCTACACGGAACCTACTTCTGGACGGTGTTTTCATTGACATCCCATGCTTGAAAAATGATCCCAAAGCATTCTCTCATCGTCTGGATGTGGCCTTTTCTCCCTCGTACGAACTGCTTAATTATTAATGTTAAGGCCTGCAAATGGCCTGCTGACCTTGTCCTTTCCTCGCTTGTCTCACGGCCATTCAGTCGCCCAACACGCCTATGACCCTCATCAAGCTTCATTCCTCCGCTGTTGAGCAGAACAGCTGTTCTCCCCATTTTTCTAAGGAATGTCCGTCCACCGATATTCTTTGCACTTTCGAGTTCTACAAACTTTCGCAACATTCAACGTTACAAGAATCGGGTAAACGTTAAGATTGCTGTGCACCATTCACATACTGCCGACTTTTACTTCCTTCATACATTGTTTCATAACTAAACTACCGCACGGCGGTCAGTTTTGCAGCCATGAATTCTTTTTTCCTCTATTCATAAGAATACTAGACAAGTACTACTCCAGTTATCATTTATTTCACCAGAACTCAACTTACTAAATCCAACCAGAAACCGTCACTTCACAGTGAACATGATGACTAACTCGTTCGCAGAAGTAGGCTGACCATACGCTTGATTACCCGGGGCCGTGGATGGGTGATTAGTGAACATTTTTTGTTGGGTTAACTTAGCACACTGGGAATTTGTCGGGAAAAAACGTAAGAAATACAGCATAAATGACTTCGTGATGACGACTAGCAGTAAAAGTCTGTTAGTTGAGCTGGGTAATTTGGTTGCAAACGTTTCACTAGCAACCAGGGCGACAGCACCAGTGCGTCAATGCGAAGCAAGGTGTGGTTGCACACAACCGCTGATGCAACGCTACGCCCCATTCAACAACGCACCAACGATGTCATATCGCCTGAAGAAATGCTAGAAACCGAGTAGTCTAGGCCAGCGAACAAAACAGGACCTACCAAATAGCGAGCAGATTAATCGCTCACCCTTCAGTGATTGAGTTCAACTAACAACCAGTGCACAAGAGCACACTGAATGTCAATAAGTGAGTAGAACCACCGAAGTGGACGTCGGACTTGATTGGGCACACCCTTCAATGGTTGACGGAGTAACTAATTCAACGTAGTTTTGACCGAGTTAACGGACTGTAGCAATAAGTTATCTTATGTAGGTAGATAAACACAACAAAATGAAAGTGAAGACTTCGGGTTCACATGCTGTTTAGGAGATAGTCTTCGAAGCAGGAGCGGCCTTTCGAAGATATCAAAAAGGTGGTCCGCAAACAACAGGATGTTCTGTTACGATACTGGTTACAATACCGCAGTATTGACTATGCGAAAACTACCAAGCGACTATTCACTCAAAAACAGTTTAGAACAGACCATCAAAAAGTAGGCAGGTAAATGTGAGCATCAAACTGCACGGAGAACGGAAGCTATGAACCAAGGTGAAGAGGTGTACTCTGTTCTGAACAGCTGTTTGCCTAGAGGTGAATGATCATGGATCCCAGAGGAACACCATCACACAGGGCCAAGGACTGGAAATCCAACCGGATAGTTTCGAGAAAGAGATGGTCGGCCCGCGAATCTTAGCTACAAGTTAACAAAGCCCAAACACCTCTGACGAAATCACCGACTGCCTGATGGTGGTAGACGGATAACAGGCCAGAAAATCAAAAGCAGGACCACATGGCGGATGCTGTTTACGATCACTAACTGAATCCCGATAAGTGTGGAAGAATTTGTATGGCTGAAACCTCTTGGACGTGACGGTATCTTTCTAGTCCGTTTTAAAATGATAAGTTAAGTTATAGGGCCTATAAGTCACGAGTTAGCCTATCCCAATACATGGTGGTAACAAAATCGGACCGAACAGAAGAAATCTTCTCAGCATACAGACAGCATAAAATGATTCGATAACTAATCATTTTCCCCAATAACGAGAGACGGAACATAGAGGCTAAATTAGGTGACATGATAGAGCTAAAATAAGCTGCGCCAATTCACCGTAGAAGCTCAGTGTAATTGCGAGTTGCATGTACTCCTAAGTAAGTGAAGTGGCATTACGAGAACTTATTTGTCAATAATATGGATTCTTTAGTTAGCCGCGACAAAAGGGCTGGAAGTTCGTGAATGGTTGACGTGTGCACAAGATCACAGCCATTTCACTTAACGGAAGCGATATTGGTCGCTTTTATTTGTGAGCATGCCCTCAGACTGCCTCCACCAGACACAAAGCAGAACGAATTGTAATGAAAAAAAAACCGACCGCTTCTTCCCAAAATGTTATGTGGTTTGCGTAATTTTCAAGCGTTTCGTCGCTCTCATTACTCATTCTAGTGAAGGTTTCTTCAGGAAGTTCAGTTGCTACGTTGAGACTAGTAACTAAAAACTGCCAATTTTGATCATGTTGGCTAGGCGGTAATGATGGATGGACTTTGGTATCATCTATAACATTCGAAGCAAAAATAGTTCTTATACTACCATGGGTCTTGCAACTTTACAAAATCAAACGAACCCTCCAAAGCTTAGTTCTGTAAGCTGATGCGAATATACCGACCTTTTGGAAATATTCGACACCTGCATCAGCACATGAAGGGGAAGCATGTCACCGCCAATTTGTTGAAGGACACAAACAATAGAAAGAAATAATGAGTCATGAAATACAATCGATTGCATACCAATTTGGTTTCAATGGGAAATACTGTGTCTGTGGGGGACTGAGTGATTTAGAAGCATGCTTCAATTTATTGTCACGTTGATATTCTAGTTACTTGAGTGGGATAACCTTCTAACAGGGAACGCCAATGAATCCCAGCTGAATCTCTCGTTTAGGATATTATTCAACTGAATGAACTGCACAAAGACCGGTTCATCTTTCAGTTGGTACGATGTCCGAGAGATTGCAGTGTATACTCTCGAACCAAGATAGATTTAATTCCCACATTAATTCACTTTTAACGGGGGAATCTGATAGAATTTCGTCGAATTTGGATTGAGGGAAACTCGGAGATGGCACCTACCCGATGAAGCTCAAGGACGAAACCGGTGGTGAGATGTCGAAGAGTTTTCAGTAACCTTATGGGTAATGTTCTGTCAAGAAAGTAACAAGTCATTCGGTTGCAGTGTTGCGGTGTACAGCTGCCTTCAAACTCGAACCAAACACAGAGACCGAAATACGCTATGCCATTCTAGGCAAGATGGCCAGAGATGGGCTCGAATAGAGGACACCTTAAACATTGAACTACCTCGATCTCATATTAATTGAAAAGTAGCCTGTAAAAACGTCAGACAGTGAGTGAGACTGGCATTTGATAGCTCGTCGTGACCTGTCTGTTCGCTCTAGGCATGTCGCTGGGTGCAATCAAGAGGAAGCACTGTTGAGGCATCCAAACACTCGCTGATTCTGTTATTTCACGGGATTATGGCGAAGGCAAGAAAGTTGCAGTATGAAGAACTGTGATGCAATCATGCCTCTTCTGCTGTGCCGTTTGTGGAGGATCAAAACTGATGCTAAAAAAATCGATTCTCAAATTCTGTCCTCCCGATCATTGTATGCTATTTCTTGCACTAAACTCCACTTCCTAAACGTTCAATAAAAGTTTGGACAGCAAGCAATTTGAACAGCAAAAAACAACCGCGAAAAACAACCCCGCGTCTTATTACAGCCATAGGGAAATAGAAACGAACTAAGATGAGAAGTTTGTTAGAAACCCAATGCCAATTGATCATCAGTATCAGTTTCGGTATCAGGGATTCTGGCGGTCCTAGTAATGAAGTGTAGCTTAACTGATGTAATACTACGAATGAATGAACACTAACCGGTTTAGTGATCATATTTATACAGGGGAAGGAAACTCACTGAGTGAGGTAAGTATGAGTCTGGAGTCGGGGTAACAACTGAGTCATGACGATATGGTCCGTTGTGATAATCTCTTCTCTGGAGTCCTTCTAAGTGTTCTTCTAAGGATTGGATACGTGCGTTGGCCTGTTCTAAGCGTTCAGCCCATAGGGAGCGTTCACTACTGAAAGGATCGAACAGAAAAATGGGTTATGACTCCAAAGTGACGAACTCACTCCCCAAAATCAAACATTCTTTAAGAGCAGAAGTCTCAAATTTTCATATTCCCATCCAAAAATTGCCCGCTCGCCCCGTAATCTGAAAAAATATTCACACATTTTAATACTTCACTACAGCTGAAGTGAATGTTGGAATTCGACCTACGCAAAATCGACAAAATGGGAAGTTTACTGTGATCCGGTAAATTTCTGCTAGTGATCCGTGCAAGTCAGCGCAAAATAGATTAGACTGAACGATTTATAAGTGAATACGTTAAAACACAACCCAACGTTGTAAACTCCAACACGACTATGGATTCTCGCTACTTTGTTGCTTTATTGTGGTCAACACTTTTTCAAGACAAGGATTCATGATGTGTGCTACTAAGAAAATCATCCATGGGGCATTATGGGAAATCTTTGCGCTCAACTGCTCCAAATGTCAGTGGAACGCTTTTACACAATCAAATATATTGGTGGCGATGGGTCAGTTGGTAGAAAAATTTTTGTCACGCCAAAAAGAAATCGTTCAGCTGTGCCTAGCTGCCGTGTCACCAGGAAGAAGCACGAGGGCTGGGATACTGCCAAGTTGCCCAAGCCTAGACAGGGGAAGTCGAGAGACAGAGGTCGGGTTCGAACCACGGACCTTCCGGTCAGCTAATTCGCGCTCTAACCACTTGATCCATCACGCCAACCTCTGAGAAACGTCATTTCCAGTGATTTGGCCATCGTACGATCTCAACACCAGCTGACAGCTGCTAAGAACCATAAGCGTATATGGCGAAATACAACTCTAGGTTGCCAGACTCAGGTACCATTGCCTTGATTATTATTGCCTAAGGATCCGGGAGTTCGTGATTGAATCTAGCTGCATTGCTCGAGGATGGTTTTCCGATCACAATATTCGGCACCGAAACGAAGGTATCTAAGTAAGAATTCAAGGTTTTACAAAAAACTATCAATATTGCATGAACTAGATAGCAGCAGAAAGAGCATCACTGAACGGTGCGGAGTAACAAAGACGAGGTTATTCAACCCTTTTCTCATCTGCAAAACTAACTTGAAAGCTCGTTGGTGTTCCAATTTTTCGGAATGTAATTGTGATTCGAATCGCTGTCGCTCGCTTTCCAGCTTTTCTTCTAACTCTTTTTCCCGAATTTTTGCAGACCGCCAACGTTCACTTGTGTATGTAGCTAGCTGAGATTCCCAACGTTGTCGCTGATCGTTGAATTCTTTCAACAAATCTCCATATCTGAAAAATGCATAAAAATCAAGCTCAGATGTTGGTGATCTCAGATGAGATCACAAATCAGATCAGCGAATTTCGTAAAAGGAACATATGGATCAACAGAAATTTTGGAAAGTAGTAAACGTATCAGAGGAAAGCATGTTGCACAGTCCAGAGAACTGAACTTTCTGCGTTTTCTGTGGCCGTAAACGGATGTTCAACAGAAGTGACGAGTCCCACTGATCCTCATTGTGTCGGTCTGAATCATAACGAGCCAGCTTTCTTCTATCTCCGAAGTAAATCACATGGCAGTAAAGTAGTCTTTTATTCGGGGGTGAGACAGTTTTGAGAGCCAAAAGAGAATGTGATAAGCGAAGCCTCAACGAAATAGCTGGCATTCCACGCGCTGTTGTAAAAAATTACTCAAAAAGATCAACTACTGTTGTCTCACCTAAACAGAGCCACTAATTGAAAGGAGCAAATGTCATACCCGAGGGGAAACCAATGGATATACGGGGAAATAACCCTTTCAGGAAACCTGTGCTGCTGTTCTCGAGGCCAGTTCACTTCACTTAAACATCCGAGCTCCAACGCGCATGCCAGCACTGACAGTTGCGGATGTTATTAGTACTGGAATGCATCCATCAGCGTTATCAGTTATAGCATCATCTACCTAATGCCACCCGTTGACGACGTCTAAATACTAGTACGTCGGGCGCACTTACAGGCTGTTAGTCAGATGACAGTTGATCAACAGCCAGTCATGCCATTCGCACTTGATTTCTTTGGTGACAAGACGAATCTCAGTTTTTGAGCGGACCTGGGTGTACCACGCTACAAGCGAGACTTGCAGCACTGTTTGGTGATATGGCGACCTCGTCCAGTGCAAAATAACATTCCATGGTGAAGTAATTGGAATAGAGTCCAGAAGAGAGTTCCGATAAAGTCGTTTAGATTCAGGATCTGGCAACCTCTATGTTGCAAAGCGAAAGGCCCACCCCTTCCACGACCCTGGATAGCGAAAACAAGCGACTCCAGACAAGTCTGTGGTCAGAATTCATACAAGCGCTTCAAGGAAACAACTATGCGAATCGAGGCTTGGATTGATTGTACCTATCAGGAACTCTAATCTAAGTTGAGCTCGAGAATGTTCAGTGGTTAGGGTTCGAGCTTACTGACCAGACGGTCCATGGTTCGGCATCTCGAATGCTTCCGTCTATGTATAGGCTATCTGGTAGTATCTCAGCAATCGTGCTTTCTTCGGATGACACGGCAACTATGTAACAAAAAGTGTTACAGCTGAACCAAGGATCCAACCCAACAACATTCATATTGTTGGGTTACTAAGTGTCTGTGACTGAATGCTCTTGCAGCACTTCGAACACTGCAAAGTTGGAAGCATGCACGAAACCTGAAGTGGGGAATTACTGTTCAGCTGTAACACTCGGTGCCTAGCTGCTGTGTCACCCGAAGGAAACACAAGGGTTGGGATACTGCCAGGTTATCTAAGCTTAGAAAGAAGTCGGGCTCGGGTACGAACCACGGACCTTCCGGTCACTAAATTCGCGCTCTAACCACTGGGTCAGAGAAAGACAAGAAAGAAATGTAGGAGAGGATAGAGCTAATTGGCAGGTTGTGGAAGATAGTGAAAGTGTGTCATCAGTAATTCTTCCATACTTCTGTTCAAAGCACATCATATTGTTGCTATGAATGACGATGACGGTCGACCGTGGCTAAGCCGTCAAAGCATGAACGGGGGTCAAGTTGTGAAGCATCTCTCAAATGCATCTTAAATTCTAAGCAAAAAGGCTAGTGTTAATGTAAATGGTACTTCCAGACATAGTGTCACTTTCCTGATTCGAGCAGTCGTGCACAGTGTTTTGAGTGCTTGAACAGAAAAGCCGCTAGTTTCATATGCACTTCTTCGTTGCATGTGACCCCAAGCACCAGTTGGTTAGTAACGTTACGAGTCCAGGAGTACCTACCTGTACCACGCTTTCACCTTACCTGAGCAAATTTGGTGACCGAACTTACTGATTGTGAAGCGTGTTCTGCTCATTTATTATTCAACTGACCCTAATCGCTAACAATTGCCAGCATTTTAGAACACTTTGCTGATGAACAAGAAGCACCTGGTTTTGATGCGCACAACGTCGGATCCCACGTATTCAGGTTGCTACTGATTTATCTCCAACCAAACCCTTTCCCAAAAGCTGTTATGATGCTATTAAAGTGTTCCGAAAAAAAATAAAGTAAGTGAGATTCAGCCGGTTAGTTATCAGGTCTAACCAACACCCTGAGTTTATATTGCCTGGCTCCAAGTGCCATGTGGGAATACTGATGTAGTCACAAAAGGGGAGTACACGATTCTGCATAAGGTAGGATTGCTTCACCTACACACCGCCTTCTGAATCAACAGGCCGCGGTGTGCGGCCTCACTGTTTCTTGACTGCCTGTCCTCTTTAGCTCCCATATTGTGATTGTGTAATTGTTGCAGTACAATAGCTTGACCACTATATTGTGGTTACATCTGGTCAGTCAATTACGTGAATGCGTCTTCCTTGTTTATACACTGTCCCTTTCAAAAAGCGAGCATCTCAAAGCAAAGGATTCTTATACGCTTGAATTCCTTCTTAAAGTCCGCCAGCAACTTTCTAGTGAAAAATCGTTCAGTTTCGGGATACCTGTGAAAGCTAGTGTGGACAGGATGATCAGCCAACGAGACCCGTTAAAGCTCGTTAAATAAAAATTACCACACCTCATCCGAGCCAGAACCAGATTTAATGATGATCACCAGTGGATTAATGCAAATGTGGATCCTGCACTACCTACCAGGGGATTGTTCATATTACCGTGAACGCGATTAGTGAAAGAAGGTTGCCAAAACAGAACGACCGCTGAGGTACGACATTGTAGTGTTGTCTCGAACATACAGTACATGCCACTATAGTGTCTTAGACGCCCCGGTTGATCCAGTTTGTTGACCTGGTTAGAGGAATATTGCCAACAAACAGCCCAAATGGGATGCAAGTGTTAAACCACTTTGATCAAGGAGAAATTGTACCCAAGCATAATCAAATATTTTTCAGACCACTGTAAAATGCAAATCCAGTATACCATCGACCCAAGCACATCTCTTCAACACAATAAAATAAATAGTCCATCTGTAACACCCTTCGGTGCCTAATCGACCCAAGCACATCTCTTCAACACAATAAAATAAATAGTCCATCTGTAACACCCTTTCGGTGCCTAGTTGCCATGCCACCCGAAGAAAACACAAGGAGTGGAATACTACCAGATCGCCCAAGCCTAGATAGGGGAATTCGAGATGCAGAGGTCAAGTTCGAACAATGGATCATACGGTCAGTAAATTCGTGCTCTAACCAATAAGCGTGGCTTTCAATAGACACCAAGCAGCTATGACGTTATATGCGAGCACTGAACAGGGTATTCAGTGACTCAGGTAACCGGTGATATTCTATATGAATTAGGATAATATTCGTCTCAATCCTATGTATAGGACATAGGACTGACTGACACAGGACTGACCTATGCATAGGACAGCAATCGCGCGACTAGATGCAGGAGTTGTCGGCGGTGACAGAACTTCGGCGTAAATACAACTCTGATGTCTGTAACGCTAAAAATGTTCGGTGGTAACAAAGAGCGACATTACCACACTGATATCCAACGCATTAGTCAACCTTCATTGTTATGGAGAAAATCTACCTGAGCGCTGGTTCATTCGAGATAATCGGCTCAACTAATCGACGTCAAATGTCGGAACAAATCCATGGCTGCATGATTTTCTGGAAATTTTTGCTTAGGACAAGGGATATGGGTCGATTAAACGCGTAGCCATTGGGATTGCGCGTGTATGGACAATACACGGATTTTCGTAGCCTTAGCTCACTGAATTGCCGGTGCACCATTCAGTACGAAGAATCTACACGTTGAACCGCATTGACAGTAATCTAGGACCAGTAACTAAGATCACGGGAGGGTAGGGATACCCGCTGTGGTTCATCAGAGTAGGAAACCCAACGACTGCAGTTCACATTGTTCACACCATTTCACAACCTTGGAGGAACTTACGTAACCGGAACCAATAGGTGCCTCATCGTCGGGTGCAAAACTGCGTTTTAGACCTTGACCTAACACTCACAACCAACAAAAGCTTCCGGGATCACCAATCGCCTGATATACGAAGTCACCCCGTCGACTGAGCGCCATCTTGCACCATCTTAATTCGTCATATAATCGTGGCAAAGCCTGAGGAAGAGTCATTGGTATACTAAAATCTAGACCACACGCTCAGAAACAGCCGTTCGTGACAGTTAGGCCGCTAGGGATGTAGTGGACGATAAAAGTCATTCCTGTTATTGATTATTTGGCATCGAGGAGCCAGTAGGAAATGATTCCATATACCAATGTTCATCTTTTATCGGTGTCCTTCAAACCATTCAATAAGAGTTTACATCGGACTTCTGATACATGAGCCATTTTCTCCGAAAATGAACCAAATCGAGATGTAGCCCCTCCTAATATAAACTTCAGGCGATTTCATAAACTTGATCTGGAAACGGCCTTCCCAAAGAGCAGTTTCCCCTAAGGAGGGAAATGCATTTGGCTGATCAGGATGAATGCTCACGTTCTAGCATGCATGGTCAAACGGATGATTGAATCAGTCGATCCATTTGTTAATAACCGGCGGATAATGATGAACGATGGTTGTGAATCGAGATGGCTGAGTGGTTAAAGCGCCAGCCTACAGACCAACCTCAGCATCTCGGCTGCACCTGTCCAGGTGCAGTATCCCAGCCCTCGTACCTCGCATGGAAGCTAGGCACCGAAGGGGTGTTACAGCGAAACTATTATTTATTATTATTATTATGGTTGTGGCTTAGCACTTCCTCCCTGCCGATAAAACCAGAAGACCACTTTGGAACGTGAGGCCATCCGGTAACGACAGCAGCGCACACCCGAAAATCGGCGGAGATCAAGTGGGGTGCTTCAATAGACAGAAATGAAAGAGCAAGTGGCTGGACGAGAAGCAAATAACTGGCCGGTCCGACTAGTCTGTAAGGCTGGAAAGTCAAGCAGCGTAGATACCGATTTTAAGATGCGGTGCATCTCCACGTGAGTTCAACTTCTTAGTACTTGACTTACTAGATAAATTTATTTCTCATTGAACTACCTTGGTCCTTCATGCTTTTACGCCATAAACCAAGTGATCTCCTTCAATTCTCCATTGGATGAGAATACAGACTCTTCGGACACGCAGTATCGTATTGACTAAAGAATCCTGAACTAGTGAGTCAAACGAAGACACTACAGTTTTCAAACTTGTCTGGTTTAATTGTGTAGATAAGTACAGTATCCCTCGACAAATCGACAATATCCCTAAACTAAGGCCGGGAGATTTAAAATGTCTGAAGCATGAAGATATCAGGACCTACTTGCGTTTGAGTTCGATCAGTTCCTCCCGCAGTAAGTCGCACTCTGTTCGTGCGAGAGATGCGCGGAGCGATTCCTCCTCAGCAAGGTGCTTCATTGTAGTCATCTGTTCGTTCAGTTGATCCAGCTCATTTGAGTGTGTGGTACCGTTTATCGGGGTGGATATTGAGTTCTCAGACGGTAACAGTACCGTGTCCTCTGTCGGTTGCACACCGCGCAACGCGTGCAACGCCTTTAATACGGAAGATTGGAGATGGAGGGAAGGCAAAATACGCACGAATTAGACAAAATACACCCTGTCTAGGTTTGGACCTGGCAGTATCCCAGCCCTCGTGCCTCTTTCGTGTGGCATGGCAACTAGGCACGGAAAGGGTGCTACAGCTGAACGATTATTACTATATTTTTACACAAAATACCTGGACAACCACACCTGTTTCGTAACAACGGACCAGGGAAGTTGTCTTCGTACAAATAACACCAAATATGCTTCACGAACACCGTTTTATGCAACTTCTTCCCTACAATTAGACTTGGTCCGGTATACGTTGTGGTGCAGATTTAGCCTGTTTACGGCAAAGCTAGTTGGAATACGACCATATAAACCATTAGCTACAACACCAAAAGTGAGTTCCAAAAACGTTAGGAGGGAAGCTAATGAAAGTTAGAGCCAGTAAGTTTGGCCATCTCAAAGAAAGTGTTTCGGCGGAGGAGTTCGTATTGATACGGTGACCAATAAGATCCGTACCGCAAAAGTGACGACATTTGAATTCTATCCAGTTATCTTACACGCCTTCGTTAGGATGGCCGAAAACTTCCATGTCGTTTGAAGATACCCGACACTTCCGAACACTTGTGGTCGATACTTACTAGTATAAAAACGATTGGCCTGTATGGTCTTCGTTAATCCTCATGATCTAGATAATCATGGACGAGTGTTTCGCCACCAACTTAAATTCGGGCGAGAACCATTAAACAAGATAAATTCATCAGGACGACGCATCCGTACATAACGAAGATTATTAGAAACTTCGCAATCATTGTTTCATCCCATTTTGGTTTCACTAACATCAGTCGGCAGTGTAACTATGAAACATTATAATGAGTGGTCCTCTGGGTACATCGACGGCTGGATTATTGGGTAAGTCTGACCAGCAGGAGTTCGGTTTAGCTAGATTGGTTGTGCTTAAAAAAGCGCTTCACTTGGTAGCTTTCTAATAAATCTGACAGAGAGTATCCTTGTTGCGGAGGAGGGGAGAACATCCACCAGTGGGAGGTTCAGAAAGTGCCCTCCATATTGATTGCCAACAAGGCGCATTTGAAAACGAACTGGAAAGAGATTTCACACTCACAAACTGAGGAAGTCGCTCCTTGGTTAGAAAGTGTCGTATTCACTTGTCGTGTGCTCCCTAAACGAACAGGGTCCTAACAACAAAAAGAATAGATTGGCACGGTGTCCGGGAGTGAAAGGCAAAATACAACAACTAGCTCGGTGATTCATGCTCTGTTGCCCATACTCCGCTCAAGTGCGCTCATGCGCTTTCCGGTGATATAAATTGTGCGCACCCTACAGACGCGAGGCTTAAACAAGCAGCTCAGGAAACAAACGTACAGACTCTACGGAGCGAGATGCATAGAAGCTAGAAGACCTCGTTTATTGTGCTTCACTACTCAAACAAAGGGGAAACAGCACGTTCTACACGAAAACTAACAAATGAAAATGCTCACCTTCACTTTATAAGCATTAAATTCATTTTGTAGCTTGTTCAACCGATCAACGGCGAAATCGCGCTCTCCCGTCAGATCCTCGATCACCACATGAGACCGCACAACATCATCACGTAGTGAATTTAAAAGACAATCTGATTGGTCTTTAGCAGATCTGATCTGTTCCAACTCTTGTTGCCTTCCTTCCAAGTCAGCCTTCAATGTGTTTACAGTGAGTTCCGCCTGCGCCAGGGCGGAGCAAGTCTTGCTATGTTGCTGTTCATCCTGTTTCAACCGCAACAACAACGACTTCATGCGACTAATTTTATTTTCCTGCTTCTGAAGTTGTTCTGTAAGGTCGCGAACAACGTCCTCTGCTTTAAAAGCTCGTTCTTTTTCCTGCTCTAATAGGACTAGTGCATCGCTGAGACTAATTTGCAAGCCATTGTATTCCGCTTTAGTCGATTCCTGAAAATGTTGGATGGCAGGATCTGCGTGAGTAACATTTCGATCCAAATGGTTTATTAGTTCCTGCGCAAACAAGTCTAAGAGTTTTGTCAGCCTGTGGTTTCCAAGGGTGCCATCATTCGCCTTCAGCGTATTCGCAGCCATAGACCAGTCAGTGAGGTTTTCTTTGGGAGAAGAAGCTACACAGGTGGCGCAGTAGAAAGTCATAATTGAGTAGCAAAAGTTGCAGTAAGCACTTGTCTCATCCATCAAACGGTCGCAAGTTTCACGGAGCTCCGAAATTTCCGCCTCTTTGTCCCGAATCAGGTGGTCGTAGTCAGCGCTTTGGATTTCAATCTTTTGCATTAGTTCAACAGTCTGCAGCTTGGCGCGCTCCACAAGTTCAACTGTATGAAGTTCCAGTTCATGAACCTTAGTTTCCAAAGCCAGAAGTCTTTCATTAGCATCCTCAGTAGATTCACTATTTTGTGTGCAGTCGTAAACAACTTCCATGTTTCCCGTAATAAGGGCTTCGCTGTTCATGGCAATGGATATGTGCGGTTGATTTGGCTGGATCCACTCCGTTGATACAGTCGGCTGTTGACGAGGTGGTGTGGGTAGGTTTTCTTTACAGGTGTCTAACGAAGTAAGACGTTCACCGCAGACTGGGCATTTGGAAGAAAGACAAACGTTGCTCATGAATATTGGGTAAGAAGAATCATCATGCAGCAGAAGACAGACAAATTTGCGCAAAAGCTGACCATCATTTATGGTATAGGGACTTTCACAATTCACACTCTTTAGAAGACGGCGCAGTTGTTCAAAACGTGTACCTGGATTACGGTCATCGATTTCTTCTGGATTGAGTACCGGACCTTTATCATCTTTATCGTCATCGTCTTTCATAGTTGAATTGTGCAGTTGATCTCGTAACGCATCCTGTGAGAGTGATAGGGTATTTACTTCCTGCTGAGGTCCAGCAAGAAAGCAGTTATGAATCTTGCACCGTTCTTGGAGGCTCCGCAACTCCAAGGATAACCGTTCGTTTTCCCGCTTATAACTTTCTAACTGTTCGCCTGCGCAGTTTTCACTGTTCGTAGTCTCAATAACTTTTCGAAGCTGACCGGTCTTATCCACCTCTAAAGAGAGCTTTAGCTGACATTCATCCAGCTCATTGCGTAACTGGAACTCTCGTTTTCGGCATAGATCAAGTTGAGCAAGTAGGTCATCAAGCTGGGATTTCGTTGACATTGACGACTCAAGCTCTGCTTCTAACTCCGTGATACGATGAACATGCTCGTGCAGTTCACTATCGCACTTGGCTTGCAACTCAGCCATCGCAGCGTCTTTCTGACGCAAGATGGCATTCAGCTGTTCAAGTTGTAGCAAACAGTCACGTAGCTGGTGTGGCAGATTGGGTTCTCCATCATTCTGAATTGTTGCTGAAGGCTCGGTTTCAGCGTCTGAACTACCGTCCGTCGGTGATTTTGATTGGCTTAAGTCAGACTCCAATGCACAATTTCTCAATCGCAGCTCTGCGAGTTCTGTTGTGAGGCGATCTATCTCACTTTTCAACAGAGTAGTATTTCTTTTCTCACGAATGATTAGTTTTTTGAGTTTGGAAACTCGTTCTTGTTCGACTATCAGTTGCCTGGCTAGGTCCTGAGCGCCTGGGTCTTCGACCATGATTCCCCTGAAACGAAAATAATACGAGGTGCAGAAACGTAGCAATATTGAGATGAAGTTCAAAAATATCGTTACAAACCATTTAATAATCATACACGTCAATGAGGACAAACGAGTCCCCCGGGCGCCCTTCGGCTGCAACACCCATTTTATGCCTAGCTTCCATGTCACCCGAAGGAAGCAGAAGGGCTGAGATACTATGTCACCCGAAGGAAGCAGAAGGGCTGAGATACTGTCCCACTGCCCAAGACTACACAGGATCAGTCGAGATGTTGAGGTTGTGTTCGAACCAAGGACCTTCCGTCAGTAAGTTTGCACCTTAACCACTGAGCTACCTCGAACCGAGGAGCGTCATTATTTGATTGCGACCAGATGTGCCATAGTTTCTTCTACCAAAAGTGAAGCAATTAAAAAAGTAATGAAACTGGATCCCCAGATGAAGCAATCCTGATATACACGAGTGATCCCCAAAAATCTTCCGTCATGAACAAATGCAGTGGCAAACGAAGGAATCCAAAGCTATTTCTCTTTGAGTTAGACGAACAATCGCGATGAACTGAAACTGCGATGCTTGGGTCCTAAAGCTCAACGATAATAAAGCGTGGATTGGATAGGCTTGACTCTATTCAACATCTTATTAATTCGTTACAACAATTAGCTGCAAATTGGTGGTGTGGATCTGGCGACTAGTCTGATACGTCGGCAAATGGCACTGAATGTGGGAAAAGGAAGTGCAACTGGTAGCCCCAAGAGATCATAAAGCGAACAAAAGGAGGCTGAACCTTACTGCAGTGTGACGGTTTGTGTACCTCTACAATATACTGAGTTATACTGGGGAGTGTACGTCTCACACTCACAAAGCATCGTCATCATCGACGGCATGCCATCGCTTCGCTGCCTCTAATACTAGGTTGGCCAATAAATACTAGTCTGACTAACAGTCTCCTGATCCTTCAGGTTGTGGGTTGGAAATGTGGCGATCCGCTCCATAAAAACGTAGGTGGTGAATCATCGCCTCCTTACCATAAGGTTTTTGAGTTAAAGGCTTTCGCTCAGGTCTCGAGCCGTCGCTCTGTTTTGGTCTGGGTGCATTAGAAGTATGGCAGTCGACATACAACCATCAACTGTATATTTACGAATAACCGCATGCAAAATCGGCCATCGTCTGGCAAGGTCAGTCGGGTCGCCTTAACTGCTTCATAGAGTTAGGCAAATAAGCGAAAAAAGGCCATCGCTGAATCCAACTATTCTTTCTCTTTCACCTTTTTCATTTTCCTTCCATTCCTATTCCTCTGCCAACGGCATCTGCGCAGACCAATTCTTACTGACAGACAGAAACGTTCGCTACCCATTGAGGCCAGATGCAATAACCAGATAACAGTGGCATTCACAAAGCGTCCGCCATCCCTTTTTAAAGGAATGAGTAACTACATTTGCTCCATACTGCAGGGATTTCCTCTTCACTCCACATCGCTCCAATACATCATAATCAGCTGTAAGAACTGCGTACCTGTGGTTGTATCTGAAGGGAGTAACCAAGCATTGAGGGTTGGAGCTAATAAACTGGTACGTAAAGACAGGATTATGAAGGGTCTGTTAAATGGGGGAGTGGGAAGGGAGCTAAGCATTGAAGGCGATAGCTCGGATGCAAGAGCGCCATTGAGGGCGTGACTGCGTCATGTCTGACCATGTCTCTAACCATTGATTTGGTCCGTCTCGGGGTTGCCATGCAGGAAGACGGTAATGACTGGCGCAGCTGAGTTTGCTGGTGATGGATTCTGTACTTCGCTGCCAAGTCATTGTTTGACCTCCTCTGGCTAATTTCCACCCTTCAAAAGAAAGTCGGTCGAGTGACGTACGCAGCACGCGGACAAGCCAGGGCAACCCATGCAGTGTGCTCAGTCCTGACCCAAAGCTGCCGCCTTGAGTGCTGCAATGATCTCTCGGGCTACACTGGCAGGAACGTCGTTTCACAAGCTGCAACCATGCCAAGAAGACCAAAGGAGAGCAGTCAGACCAAGGGCAACGAGACCCCGTACTACGAGTAATCGTTCTACGGGACGGCCTGGGAGTAAAGTCCTACTGTCCTCTGCGACAGGACTTTGAAGGCAGTAAGGTGTTTACCCCAGACGACCAACATGTCCATATTTATGGAGGTAGCGATGCTGTCTTCCCCCCAGGAAGGACGGGTTAGAAAAGGTCGGCCCCAAGAACCACACTCCGATCGCCCAACGGTTGACCGTGACCGCCGGCGCATTATCCAATACGGTCGAAATACTCTTAAAACCAAAGAGCCCGATGCTGCTCAAAAGACACCTGCTGCGCGCAGCCGCATCAGGAGTGAGATACTGATGCCTTATTCTCTGCACCCTCGGGTTAAACCAACCCCTTGCAGCCGAACAGGTCAGACTGTTGAGTCGTCGACTCCGGGCAGGGTCTCCAAAGAAAATCTTACATTCTGCCACTGCCTCGTGGGTCAGACTTTTGAGTCGAAGGCTCAAGGTGAGGTACCTCAACCAAACCCCTTCCTCGGCTTGGGCAACCGGGAAGTATCATTTGCCCGCGCAGTTCAGCGTCCTTCCCCAACCGCTTGCCACCGCACAAGTAAACATCGCTGGGCCATTTGACTGTCAGTCATCTGAAAGAAGGGCCTTATGATCCTCGCTGCCTACAAACATTAAACAAAATAATACCCTTCAGAATCCACGAGATCTTTCAACGTCCGTACTCTGTGTCAAATTAGCAAGCAGGCAATGTTTGCTGAAACCTCATACCCTGTTAAAATTGATATATGCTGTCTCCGAAACAAGCACACAAGACCCAAGCGTGGTTATGCATCTCAGAATGCCAATGATGGACTCAACTCTTTCACATTTCTCCCTCCATGTGCCTGGTGACCCAGAAACGATGACTCGTGGAATATATGGCGTGGTAGTTGAACTCAGCCCCAGAGCTGAGAGCAATTTGCTGGATTGTATCCCAGTGAACAGTCGTCTTTGCGCCGCCCGGTTATCCATTTCAATCAAGCTCAATTCCTCTAGGCAAAAAAGCGGTACCTGTTTGTAGTGTCGGCTTATGTCCCAACGCGGAGAAGGATACTTTCTACCGAGAGCTATCCGGGCTCATTAGTCAGGCAAAAAGCACTGACACTGTGATCCTTGCAGGCGATTTGAACGCTCAAGTAGGCCGTCTCAGCTCCTTGGAATCACATCTAGGCGCTCGATTCGGACTCGATGCTCGCCGCACAATGGAGATCGACCCCTTCAGTTGCGTGCTGACCATGAACTGTTTCTGGCAAGTATGAACTTTAAAAATAAACGTTTGCCTCGCGTAACCTGGAGGCTACCAACTGCAAATCAACCGTGGACCCAGTTGGACCACGAGGCCATCAGCACCGGTGGGAGAGCCGCAATTCAAGACTGCCGTTCCTTCTGGGGTACACCACTTGATTCCGACCACGCCATGGTGCGCGCACACCTGACACTTCGCTTCCCTTCAGGCCCTCGCAAGTCAGCAAGAACGACGAGAGCCCAACGATACCGACCTGAGCTAGCCCAACAACTCTCCACAGTGAAAGAATACTGTGGTGGCAGTGAGCATGTGGATGAAGCGTGGCAAAATGTGAAAGGAGCTACTTTGGCGGCGTTCAGTGCTATCCATCCGACCTCCCTGATTTGACCACAAGACCACTGGATGTCGACGAGGTCGCCATCCATGACTGATGCCAAAAAATTCATACCAGCAGGAAACAAGTACGACAGCGCACGCAAATATCTCAAACACCAAATAGTGACGAGACAAAGGAAAAACCGAGGGCTCCAGTGGACATCGAAAGCTGGAGAGATGGAGAAACATTTTGCTACGAGAAACAGCCGTGCCCTATATCAACTGACACAGTCGACTGGTCCCAGGAAAGTAACGGTCAGCGAAACGATAAGTGAAAAAGATGGCTCACTGATTCACTCGCAAACACGTCGACTAGAAAGACGAGCCGAACGCTTCGCAGAACAGTTCAGGTGGCCTCCTGCAACACAGCCTGTGAAGATAATGCATATGGGAGAATGGAATGTAAACCCTGATCGCCCTTCGGAAGAAGAAATAAAGTACGAAATATCCATGCTAAAAGGTGACAAGGCACCAGGACCGGACGGTCTGTATTCAGCCGTCTTCAAAGAAGGCGGAAAATCCCTGGCGATCCATCTGAAAAACCTTACTGGTGTTATATGGACCGAAGAGAACGTGCATGTGTGGGTTGGAAATGTGGCGATCCGCTCCATAAAAACGTAGGTGGTGAATCATCGCCTCCTTACCATAAGGTTTTTGAGTTAAAGGCTTTCGCTCAGGTCTCGAGCCGTCGCTCTGTTTTGGTCTGGGTGCATTAGAAGTATGGCAGTCGACATACAACCATCAACTGTATATTTACGAATAACCGCATGCAAAATCGGCCATCGTCTGGCAAGGTCAGTCGGGTCGCCTTAACTGCTTCATAGAGTTAGGCAAATAAGCGAAAAAAGGCCATCGCTGAATCCAACTATTCTTTCTCTTTCACCTTTTTCATTTTCCTTCCATTCCTATTCCTCTGCCAACGGCATCTGCGCAGACCAATTCTTACTGACAGACAGAAACGTTCGCTACCCATTGAGGCCAGATGCAATAACCAGATAACAGTGGCATTCACAAAGCGTCCGCCATCCCTTTTTAAAGGAATGAGTAACTACATTTGCTCCATACTGCAGGGATTTCCTCTTCACTCCACATCGCTCCAATACATCATAATCAGCTGTAAGAACTGCGTACCTGTGGTTGTATCTGAAGGGAGTAACCAAGCATTGAGGGTTGGAGCTAATAAACTGGTACGTAAAGACAGGATTATGAAGGGTCTGTTAAATGGGGGAGTGGGAAGGGAGCTAAGCATTGAAGGCGATAGCTCGGATGCAAGAGCGCCATTGAGGGCGTGACTGCGTCATGTCTGACCATGTCTCTAACCATTGATTTGGTCCGTCTCGGGGTTGCCATGCAGGAAGACGGTAATGACTGGCGCAGCTGAGTTTGCTGGTGATGGATTCTGTACTTCGCTGCCAAGTCATTGTTTGACCTCCTCTGGCTAATTTCCACCCTTCAAAAGAAAGTCGGTC